CTGATGCTGATGATGATGATGATGATGATGATGATGATGATGATGATGACGACGACGACGACGATGATGATGATGATGATGATGATGATGATGATGATGATGATGATGATGATGATGATGATGATGACGCTGATGATGTTGATAATGATGATGATGCTGTCGATGCCGATGTCGATGATGATTATGATGATTATGAAGATGATGAGGAGGAGGATGATGAAGAGGATAACCAGTGTAAGCCCAAGAGTTATCAACGATGTTGGAGTAAACCCTCCCTCCAAGCTCCCTCTTCAGCGCCCCCTACAACTGTTCATTTCCATTGATGGAAATGCCTCGTTGGAAAATACCAGTTTGAAGACCCTGAAGCGTGCCAAACCATTGTTCTCGGGATTCCAACGCCACGGATCAACCTGTTTGTTGCGTCTTGACGGTCCTGAGTCTTGCCAGAACACCATTCCGAAGACTTCACACAGAGAACCAACGTAACTGTTTTATCCGCATAATCCAGAATCCTTCCAAAACACCTTTTCTGGTACGTTGGTGATCGGAATCCGTGAAACTCCTGCAATTTTTCCCAACCATCCTGTGGTGTTGGGTCCTCTTTTTGAAAAGACAGCGCCCCGCGTCCCACCTCCTTCCTCCTTCCTCCTCCTCCCCCTCCCCCCTCCTCCCCACCCCCCCTCCTCCTTCCTCCTCCTCCTTGCTTCGTTTCGTAGCCCCATAGGGAGCTCCACCGAAGGCCCCAGTGGGGGTGCCCGCATGCGGTTCCCCCACCCAGGGCAGCGTTCCGTGGCCCCATAGGGAGCTCCACCGAAGGCCCCAGTGGGGGTGCCCGCATGCGGTTTCCCCACCCAGGGCAGCGTTTGGTGGCCACATAAGGAGCTCCACCGCAGGCTCCAGTGGGGGTGCCCGCATGCGGTTCCCCCACCCAGTGCACCGTTTTATAGCCCCATAGGGAGTTCCACCGAAGGCCCCACTGGGGGTGCCCGCATGCGGTTCCCCCACCCAGGGCAGCGCTTCGTGGCGCCATAGGGATCTCCACCGAAGGCCCCAGTGGGGGTGCCCGCATGCGGTTCCCCCGCCCAGGGCAGCGTTTCGTGGTTCTATAAGGAGCTCCACCGCAGGCCCCAGTGGGGGTGCCCGCATGCGGTTCCCCCACCCAGCGCAGCGTTTCGTGGCCCCATAGGGAGCTCCACCGAAGGCCCCAGTGGTGGTGCCCGCATGCGGTTCCCCCACCCAGGGCAACGTTTCGTGGCCCCACAGGGAGCTCCACTGAAGGCCCCAGTGGGGGTGCCCGCATGCGGTTCCCCCACCCGGCAGCGTTTCTTGGCCCCACAGGGAGCTCCACCGTAGCACCAGGGGGGTGCCCCAGCGTTTCGTAGCCCATGGGGCTCCACCGAAGGCCCCAGTGGGGGTGCCCGCATGCGGTTCCCCCACCCAGGGCAGCGTTCCGTGGCCCCACAGGGAGCTCCACCGCAGGCCCAGTGGGGGTGCCCGCATGCGGTTCCCCCGCCCAGGGCAGCGTTCCGTGGCCCCATAAGGAGCTCCACCGAAGGCCCCAGTGGGGTTGCCCGTTCCCCCACCCAGGGCAGCGTTTCGTGGCCCCATAGGGAGCTCCACCGAAGGCCCCAGTGGGGGTGCCCGCATGCGGTTCCCCCACCCAGGGCAGCGTTTCGTGGCCCCATAGGGAGCTCCACCGAAGGCCCCAGTGGGGGTGCCCGCATGCGGTTCCCCATCGCCACCACTGTGGCAGGCCCCTCACACAGTTCGTGGCCCCATAAGGAGCTCCACCGAGGACTATATTCACAACTGCGGTACTCACAACTGCATATGGTTGGGTCCTTCGCCAGGCTAATTGTAAGCGAATGTGCCCGGAACGCCCTTCCGACTGGCCTCCTGGTGCGACACGGGGGGATTATTCACAAGGGTAAAACTGGAGAAGGAGGATAACACAGAATATAAACACTTAATTTGAGTAGTAAGACTGATACTAAATACTACTACTAATACTACTAATACTAATACTAATACTAATACTAATACTAATACTAATACTAATACTAATATTAATACTATTACTAATACTAATACTAATACTAATACTAATACTAATACTAATACTAATACTAATACTCATACTCATACTCATACTAATATTCATACTAATACTAATACTAATGCTAATACTAATATTAATATTATTACTATTACTAATACGAATACTAATACTACTATTACTAATACTAGTACTAATACTAAGACTAATAATAATACTAATGTTAATGCTAATGCTCATATTAGTATTAATAGTAATATTAACACTACTAGTAATACTCATACTAATAGTTATATCAATACTATTACTCATACTAATACTAACACTAACACTAATACTGACACTAATACTAATATTAATACTACTCCTCATACTAATACTAATACTCATACTAATATTAATACTAATACTAATACTACTGTTAATACTTTATACTGGTACTGATACTGATACTGATACTGATACTGATACTAATATCCATACTGCTACTAATACTAAGACTAATACCACTACCAATACTCATACTATTCTAATACTAACAATGAGACTGCTACGAATACGAATGCGAATGTGAATGCGAATGCGAATGCTAATACTAATATGAACACGAATGCGAACATTAATACGTAAAGTAAAACTAATACTTATACTAATACTTCTGCTAATACTAATACTAATACTAATACTAATACTAATACTAATACTAATACTAATACTAATACTAATACTAATACTAATACTAATACTAATACCAATACTAATACTAATAATAACACTAACACTGATACACTACTAACACTAATACTAATACGACTGCTAATACCAGTACTGATACTAATAGTAGTACTAATACTAGTACTAATACCTAATACTAATACTAATACGAATGCTACTGCTAATGCTACTTCTACTACTAATATGAATACTCATACTCATACCATTACTAATACTGATACTGATACTAATACTATTAGTAATACTAATACTAACACTAACACTAATACTAATACTACTGCTATACTAATACTAATATTAAGTAATACTACTACTAATACTAATACCAAAACTAATACCAATACTAATACTAGTACTAATACTACTACTAGTACTAATACTAATACTAGTACTAGTATTAATACTGACACTAATACTTCTACTAATATTTATGCTAATACTGATGCTACTACTAATATTAATGCCAGCTACTAAATACTAATACTAATACTAATACGAATACTACTACGAATACAAATATCAATAATACTAACCCGGCTACTACTACTACTACTACTAATACTAATCCTAATAGTAATTCTACTACTTATACTAACACTAGTACGAATACTTATTACTAATACCAATACTAGTACTAATGTTAATGCTAACACTAATACTAACATTAATACTAACATTACTACTAATACTAATACGAATACTGATACTACTACTAATACTACTACTCATAATATTACTACTACGAATACTGATACTGGTACTGATACTGATACTGATACTGATACTGATACTACTACTACTACTACTACTTCTACTAAGACTCATACTCAGACTAATACTAAGACTAATACTAGTACTCATACTGGTACTAATACTAATTCTAGTACTAATACCAATACCAATACCAATACCAATACCAATACCAATACCAATACCAAAACCAATACCAATACCAATACCAATACCAATACCAATACCAATACCAATACCAATACCAATACCAATACCAATACCAATACCAATACCAATACCAATACCAATACCAATACCAATACCAATACCAAAACCAAAACCAAAACCAAAACCAATACCCATACCAATACCAATACCAATACCAATACCAATACCAATACCAATACCACTACCACTACCACTACCACTACCACTACCAATACCAATTCCAATTCCAATTCCAATTCCAAGTCCAATTCCAATTCCAATTCCAATTCCAATTCCAATACTCATAGTAATACGAATATTAATACTATTTCTAATACTCATATTAATACTAATACTAACACTAATACTAATACGAATACGAATGCGAATGCGAATGCGAATGCGAATGCGAAAATATGCGAATGCTAGTACTAATCTTAATACTAATAGTACTATTACCTAATGCTAATACGAGGGAGGGAAGGAAGAGGAAGAGGAAGAGGAAGAGGACGAGGAGGAATAGGAGGAAGAGGAGGAAGAGGAGGCGGAGGAGAAGAAGGAGGAGGAGGAGGAGGAGGAGGAGGAGGAGGAGGAGGAGGAGGAGGATGAGGAGGAGGAGGAGGAGGAGGAGGGGAGGAGGAGGAGGAGGAGGAGGAGGAGGAGGAGGAGTTGGAGGAGGAGGAGGAGGAAGGGAGGAAGGAGGAAGGAGGAGGGAGGGAGGAAGCGAGGAAGGGTGGAAGGGATAGGAGGGAGGGAGGGAGGGAGGGAGGGAGGGAGGAGGACGAGGTGGAGGAAGACGAGGAAGACGAGGAAGACGAGGGAAACGAGGAGGAGGAAGAAGACGAGGAAGACAAGGAAAACGAGGAGGAGGAGGAGCGAAAGCGCAGCAAAGCCCCAGGACAGGGGGCAGGATATCTTGAGTGATCCATCCAGCGCATGGCGCGCCGCCTGGGCAAGTCGGCGGCGATTCATTTCTGTTGCTCTGGTGGAAGTGCTTCGTGGGCGGGGGGTGGCCGTCGTGGCCACGGCTGGGCTCAGCTCGAAGATCGTGGGAGGGGTCCCCGGGCCGATCTTGAGTGAAAATTCTCCTCGGTGGGCTCCACCGTGTCGGCGCGCGGGGACGCCATCGCGGACGTTCGAGGTTGGGCCCCGATACGGCGGAGGCTGTTCAAGTGTAAGCGGTGTCTGCGGTGACGCAGTCCAGTGCCCACGCCGACATGGCAGGGCGCTACCGTAGGCTGACATCTGACCTCCCCCGAGCCAGCTCCAGGACCTGAGCATCGGATGGGGCCACCAGCTCCTGGGTATGGACAACGCCACGAATGAGACGTGCGGCTTGATCTACGGAGGGGAATGGCGCCCGTGGTGCACGTAGCAGATGCCGCCGCTCTTCCAGCCCTGTCAGGTGTTTGACATCCGTCGACCTGGAGCAGCTCTCTTGCTCAGTCCGCGGGGATCGGAGAGTGCCGAGCGCTTCTAAAACGCCAGGGGGGTTTCCCAGAAACCCTTTCGCGTCGTCCAGGCCGCCCAATGGGCGTCCGAGCAGATAGTGTCGGAGGATGGGCGGCGGCGCGCAACCCGATCTGGAGCCCACTTTTCTCCATCCCTATGTTGCCGGTGCATCGCCGATGCCTCGGCGATGCGGCGACATGCCTCGACTCCAGCTGCCCGGGCGTCCTCAACCTTTCGGCCCGTCCGTTAGGGTCCGCCCGCCCGACCCGCCCGTGCGGGGTTCCTTTCTGCGCGCTGGCAGGGACAGGTGGGACAGGGATGATTCATCGAAATTCGGGGAACCAGCAAAAACTGCCTGGCGAAGGACCCAACCATATGCAGCTGCGAGTACCGCAAGACAGGTGGAAGCTAAGGGAAGGGTCTAGCAAAAGGACTAAGGCGTGCGTGGGAAGGACGGAGCAACATTGCTGATGGTGTCGCAGAGGTCGCAGAGTGTGCTGATAGTGTCGCGGTGGGACGGAGATGAGCAGACGAAATTCGGGGAACAATATAACTGCATAAACATACATTTCCCACGGTCCGTGCGGATGTCTCGGATCGTCAGAGTCCCCTGGTGTCGCCTCCAGTGCCGATCCAAGAAATCAGCGCGGGCCTCCGAAGGCTTGTGCTCGTGCACTTTTGGTTCCGCGGGAAGTGAGCCGGGCAGAGCCGGGCTCACGACGTGGTCGAGTCAGAGTCGGATATTTGGAGGGCCGATCGGCCCATCGGCCCATCCCCCCTCCAGGATGGCGCCGCGACGGATTCGGCGCTTGCAGGCTCGCTCGCAGTCCTCTCCCCGCTGCTCCCGACCTCTATCCTCCGCCCCCCCTGAATTCCTCTCCCTCTCGCCGCCTCCCGCCCTTCTTTGCCCCCTGCTTTCGATGGTGTGCCAGCGACGAGGTGGACAGTTATGTTCATTTTGCGACGCTGGCGGTCCGGATACCTCCCTCGCTCCAACTCGCTCCCCAATAATCGCCAAGCTATAAGTATGCATGTAATGGCTCATGGCCTTCGACGTATCCTGCCAGCCTATGTGATGTCAATTGAGGTCTCTTTGGATGCCTCTCGAGGTCCTCTTGGGGCCTCTTGGGAGCCTCTTCGGCGCCTCTGGGGGCCTCATCGGGGCGTCTTGGTAGCCTCTTGGCGATCTCGGGGGCCATCTTGGCACAAGGGAGCTCCTGGGGCTGTTCGCTTTCCCCTCTCGGGGGCGCAATCGGCACAAACGCATGTTGTTTCATGCTATGTGATATCGGGGAAAGCCATGCTACAAGCCTTGCAATTCTCGCAGCAAGCCCCGAGAGATGCGTGAGTTGAGGTCTGGGCGCCTGAGAGAGCATTTAATAGTTAGTATTGAGGGCTCTAATAGAACTCAGGACACTTTACTCGATGCTTAGCAACACGGCAGAAGAGACTTCTCGGCAACATCCTAATCATGAGTTCATTTGTCGTGAGGGGTGCCCTTGCTACCATAAGCCGTCATAGGCTGATAGTAGTCTAAACTAGGCCCCCAGAAGGCTCCAAGAGGGTTCCACAGCGAGCCTGGGTGGCCCTAACGCGACCCAGTAATGCCCAAGAGGGCGCAGTCACGCCTCCTAGGACGGCCTCAGAGGGCCCCAAGACGGCCCAATGTCTTCCCCTGCTCCTGACTCGATAGCATGCGAACTACAGTGTCGTGACCATATTACGGTTGGAGCTCTCATTCCCATCCTTGCGTTTTTTTCGAGCAGGTTCGATTCGTGAGGGTCCAGGGCGCAAAATCTCCCGTCTTTGGTTTTCTTTCTACGACACGCCAAGGTGCCAGTGACCCCCCTGCCCTCCCCCTCATCGTCCTCGTCATCGTCATTGTCATCGTCATTGCCGTCGTCGTCATCATCGTCGTCTGCGGTGTGCCGCGGCCGCTTCGGGTCAGGCCTTGCGACCGTGGCGATCTCCGTGGTGGCACTCTACGCGACGCTGCATGGAAGGGACGGTGGTGGAGGGATGAGGAGGAGGAGGGAGGAGGGGGGATAGTGAGAGGATTTTTGTTTGTGATGACCCGCCCCTGTTCTGGTTGCCATTTTTTGTTTGTTCTTATTTTTTGTTATGTAGTTCTTTAATTTGTTTTTGGCCTCGGGGGCCTGCCCCCTCCGCCACGAACGTTTTATTTCGCGTCGCACACCCCTCCTCCCCCCCCCGCGTCCCCAGCGCCAGAGTGCGACCCCCGCGCCGTGGCTCTCTGCCCCGAGCCCCCCCGCGTCCCCAGCGCCCCAGCGGAAGCCCCGCCCACTGCCCCCTCCGCCACGAACGCTTTATTCCGCGTCCCCCCCCCGCGTCCCCAGCGCCAGAGTGAGACCCCCGCGCCGTTGGTTCTCTGCCCCGAGCCCCCCCGCGTCCCCAGCGCCCCAGCGGGAGTCTGGCCTTCTGCCCCAAGCCCCGCCCAGTGCCCCCTCCACCGCGACCATTTTATTCCGCGTCGCGACGCACACCACCTCCCCCACCCTCCCCCCCCGCGTCCCCAGCGCCCCGGTAGGAGCCCAGCCCAGTCACCCCGAGCCCCCCCGCGGCCCAGCGCCCCAGTAGGAGCCCCGCCCACAGCCCCCTCCGCCACGAACGTTCTCTTCCGCGTCGCACGGCCCCCACCGTCCCGCCCCCACGATCGTTCTCCCCTCCCTGCCCGCCCAAGTGCACCCCGCTCCCCCTCCGCTCCGACCATTTTATTTCTGCGTCGCACCGCCCCCGCCGTCCCGCCCCCCGAGACTTCTCCGATTTCTCGTCCCCTCTCTCCCGCTCTTTCCTCCTCCTCCTTTTCCTCTTCTTCTTCCTCCTCCTCTTCCTCCTCCTACTTCTCCTCTTCCTCCTCCTCCTCCTCCTCTTCCTCCTTCCCCCTCCGTTTTGTGCAAGAGCCATGGCACGCGTGCCACTTGCTCAGGAATTGCGCTCTCACTTGTGATCTCCATGCGATTTATTCAGAAATCGCGCTTTCGACGCTCAGGAAGCACGCTGCGCCAAGGACGCCGTTACACTTTACTTAGTACTCGCGCTCTCGCCACACTCAGGCATCCCGCTCGAATGTCCCACCCGCCCGACCCGCCCGTCAGGGGATCGCCCGCCCGTCGTGGGCTCCCGCCCGAGACTTCCTTCAGGAACGGCGTTTCGCCTAGGACTTCCTCGAACGTTCACGCTCTTACCTTCCTGCTCCTCCTCCCTCTCCCTCCTCCCTCCTCCCTCCTCTCCTCTCCTCCCTTCTCTCTCCCTCCTCTCTTCCCTCATACTTATG